AAGTTGAGAGCATCTGTCTCTATCTCTCTTCTGAAATTTTAATTGTCTGGTTATTTCATCTTTTCAGGCATCATATAAAATAACGACGTACGTTGATTTTTAATTTTAATTAATTAAAACTCAAAATGCCAAAACTTTTTTTTACTTATTACGTGTCATTGAGAAATAAATACTCAAAGATATCGCGTCTTATTGTCGGCCTGGGGAATGTTTAAATTTAATCAAAACGCCGATATTAATTAAAATTGATTGAATTATGTTGCATCTTCTCTTCTCTGGTAAATTTAGTAAAAATGAATTATTTGACACAATAACAACGTCATATAAAACTTTAAAAAATAGAGAAGATGTAATGAATTCCACTTTACGAAAAAATATATATTATGAATGTTTCGAACTTGGACAAATTCACTGATGAAGCCACATAGTCTACCCATGCTGTTATTACTCAACTGTAAAAGTCAAGATTTATTAAATACATTCACAAAAATTGTCAAATGTCTAGTTGTGAAAAAAGGATTGCTACATCTTTGTTCGCTGGAATTTAAAAATATTCCTTTCATTTTGACTGTACATAATTTTTATTCTAATCTTCAGAAAATTTGCTTATGGGTTTCATATTTTAAAGAATTACATATAAATACTCTGACGGCACATTTCATGTTCATGTGATAAACGTTATGAAATATTTGTAATTTGTACCTTATCTCATTGAACAAATGAATGTGCCTCTTTTTATTATTGTTTGTACTATCAGTAAATATTGAGAAAGGTTCAATCATCAATAGGGCTGTCAGAACTGAGCCGCGGGACATAGGCGTACGCATTATTTATTGAAAAGCAACAAATTAAATTGTCTACAATACACCACCATAAACACCAACGGATAGGAATTAATTACGCAACATCTGCACGGTAACAAAGACAACAGTATACGTGACGTGAACGCCCGCGGTATAGTTGTTTCTCGCAACATTGACAATTAAAAACATTGTGTTTCGCCCTCTGTGGGTAGCAGTCGTGCAACATAGTACCTGCAATATAGTAGGTCACTTCCTACTGTAGCCATTTGAATGGCATAATTGGGAGTGAGCACGACAGATGGAGCCATTGCCGTGAGGATAGGGCCGCATAACGATTGGATCGCTCGTCGGTTGTCTCACCTATGACACACTGATGAGGACTAATAAGTCCGAAACCGATCTGTGCCCGGTGCGGTGGGTTAAACTGACGAACGATCCTAGCTGTTGCACCAGGTGTTGTGAATATATTTCAATGTCGGTCGCTTCTCACAACACTGGCAATTAAAAAATAATCTTCATACTGATTGGATGTAACCTACCATTTGATACAGTAAATAATAAAACATTTCATTCCTACTGGAATAAATACCCCCAGTAGAAATGACCTTGTCGGAACAGCTTGGAAGTAGATTATTTAATTATGTAAATATTACATCACTAGGCAACGATGTGTAAAACAATTTACACGTTTCACAATGATAAAAATGATAAATCTTATAATCATTGTTCACTTTAGTTTGTGTTGATGATCCGCACGCCTTTGGTGCGCGTCCAATTATGACAGCACTAGTTATCAATGAATAAAGTAGACTTTATCTTGATATAATTTTTTCTACGGTAAAGTAGGACAATAAATAATAAGTACTTAAATATTCAATTATATTCTAAAAAATTCAATAAACAAAGTCCGCTGTTGAGTTATTTCGACAAAAAATTAATTTGCATAAATTCCTACATAACATTTTACCAGTTGAATTTAAGAGGTCACGGTCCTTACTAACTACTCTTAAATAGTTTCAAAGCTATTAGTGTCAAGACCTACATTATGCTACTTGTAGTTTAACGCATGAATGAATAATTCACCATATTATTAACTTAAAACAGAAAGAACAACTGTAACTTACCATTTCACGGAGTTAAAGAGACTTACGGCTTGTTTACACGGGAACAGTCAACTAAATTTTAACTAAATTTTTAAGTCGCTTGTACCTATTTGAACAGCGCATATGTGGTAAGTAACAAGTTATGGAGCAAGTAAAAATTAAGTACACTGGAATAGAATGTATTCTATTTTTTCGTGCAAGTTGACGACTTGCACCGAACTTTTCCCTCCTGCTGATCCACTTTCGCTCCCAAAGTCGTTTAGGTATATTTTTCTCTTCATATATTTCTTCATTTATTTCTTCTAATATAATATTTAGGATATTGCGTAGTATGCCATTAAATTCTTCTACAAATTGCTGCCTCACGTTCATCTCGTCAGGTTTGCAAATATATAAACTGCACTAGAACTTACCAACAACTAAACTTAGAACTTACCAGTGCGAACAGCAGTTGCAGAAAAAGCAGTAACTTAAAATTTAGTTACCACTTACCTACTGTCCCCGTGTAAACAAGCCTTTAGGGTATTAATTAAAAGTCAGCCTGAACTAGCATACAAGAATTATATTAAAAAATATTCAAAGCTCAATTTCTGCAGGACCAAAAACAATTTTTGAAAAGCAACAAACATGTCTATCTGGTATAATGAAGAGACTGGATATAGTAAACCACTCAATATTATAAATGCATTCGCTAATTTTTTTAGCTTCATCATTTTGCATAAAAATTATCTGTGAAACCTCCATTAGTAATTCTGAATATTAATGATGTTACAATGGCAGAAATAGGATATGCTGCAAAGACACTAAAATATAGGATGACGGTAGGTCCAGATCTTATGCCATCATTTTATAATCAAAGATTACATTTCCACATTTCCATTTCCATTTCCAGACAGATGAAAATTAGCCAATGGCAGGGGTTAGGTTGATACTTCGTATAAGTATTTCACTAAAGCCTCACGTAGATCACAACTTTTTGTTATACCTAGTCTAACTTTGGTTGTGGTGAAAACTTGCTACAATTTTGCAAATCGTACCTAATAAATAGACAACAATTTGTATTGTACAACGGTTAGAGATCATTAACATATGCAGCGTTGTCGGGAATTCCGCTGGGATCTAATCTCAGTCCTTTCTTATTCCCGTTATTTATTAACGACCTTTATGTTGAGCTACATTGCGAATTGTTGATGTTGATGAATTTTTTAAATCGATATTCTCATTAAATCATCATCTATAATCTCTATATGAGATTAGCAAAATTAACAAAAAGTTTGAATAAGATTGACAATAATGTTAATGAGTGTAAAATAATAAAATTTACAAGGAAATTTTCTGTCAATGGTTTAGGTATACTTTTTGATTCGGAATTGAATTTTTGAGTAACATTTATTATAAGGATTTGTAATAGTTACAAATGAAACAAGGCTAAGATCCTTTTGTTATGCATATGTTCAATGTGAACTGGAATTGGAACTACTTGCACAAATAAATTATGGTCCAAAAATTCACTCAAAGAAATCGGTACTTCTTAAAATCAATTGCCTTATATTTTAAGCAAACTCATTGTTTATCTCTTGGTTATCATACAATATTAGAAAGAAATTAATATACTCTTTCTTTTCCTCTAATGAAAAATTCAAATAGTTCTACAACAAAATATTTTTTTGCGATTTTTTTAATGGAAGAAAGAGTATGAGCCATTCTCGCGTGGCATGTTGAATTTGAGGTGTGTAACTGATGCAAATTCGAATATGAAAAAAAATATGTCTTAATCTACATGAGTATGGTTAGAGAAATACGTAGGGAAAATAGGGCAATCATTTGTCAATAAATGATGTTAAAATCTAATCGGAAATCACTGTCCGTACGATATTTGTTGAGATAGAATTCCAAGATAATAAAGATATGATCAAAATATAGAGTGAATAGAATGAAAATCGTTGGAATTATGCTGCTTGCCGTTTTAAAAAATAGTATTTCGAGAAAAACGCCTTTCAAGTTTTGAGATATACGCTATACTAACGTACCTTCGTTTGAAAATGCATCTAATTGAACACAAACTCTTTCTAACGACATCTGTTAGTAGTATTAGCGAAGTTAGGTATCAAAAGGTATGTCATTAGACTACCCTTCCAGAAGGTACCCATGTGCCGCAGATAGTCGTTTCGAAGCTGTCCGACGCGCTTGGGAAAGAGCTCGAAATTTCAAAGAAAAAAATTTGTACAGGCAATAAACTTCTTCCCCGTTATTCTAATGGTTTAAAGCATTTTAAATCAATAAAGAACATACATTTTCTGAAAGTTTTACAGGATTTTTACCCCTTAATGAGCATGTAAATGGATATAAAGGTCGTTTTAATTAACTTTGGCTCTAATTATTTTGTTCATCGAAAGTAATATAACTAACTACCATTGACTGTTATTAAAATAATGTAATGTGCGTTAATAATTGCAACTAAACGTGTAATATATGGGCATCACATGCCACGATTTTAGTTCGTGCCGTTTTAAGTTAAAACTAAAATATATAGGAGATAAAACGTTTCATTAAAAGTTTCTTAATTTAAATTGTAGAATTAGCTTCTACAAGTAAAGTCTGCAGGTAAATTATGTAATTTCATTTTATGACCACAACAAACGTAAGTATTACGTTTAATATATCGTAATATGTGATAATAATAAACTATTATCTTTCCTTTATACTTATCTTTATAGAACATATGCTAGTCTGTCTTTTGGGCAAGTTTTTAGTAATCAGTATATCAGAAGGAATTCGCGTCAACGAGATTCTACTCGTATTGTCGAGTAAAGTGAATTGAACTGATAGTTTTCGTTTTAAAATGGTATTTCCCAAATTTATTCTTTTATTTTTTTTACTCTGCATATATTTTTCTCAGTTTTTCTAGTTGCAAAATTGTCACACCATATTTATACGAATGATTGAAAGTGAAAATGCAAGAAGGAATCTATAATAATTCTTATGGTAGACTGATGTTTTTTTGTTTGTTCTAGGTGATGTACTGCTACTGCTACTGCTCAAGAAGGAATCTATAATAATTCTTATGGTAGACTGATGTTTTTTTTTGTTCTAGGTGATGTTGGATAATATTAAACACTCAATAGTTCTTCTGCAAATAGCAAAGGTGAGTTCATGCACTAGTTTATATACGCATTCTCATTGCCAAATTCATTTTTCTTATAAAAACTTACTGTACAATATCCAAATAGTAAAAAAAATCAAGGAGATCAGAAAAGTTACTTTCAGAACATTGCCTAACAGAAACATCAATTGTATGCATCAGTTTAGGGGTAATAGTACATGTTCCCCTTTATACGAATCTAATTTTTTTTTAATCAAATAAACTTGTTGATACTTGTTGATCCGTATTTGAAGACAATACATCTAACTGTGAAGTTAAAGTTATATTTAAACAGAAAACAATTCGTTATTAAATTCCAAACGAACTCCGTATCCTGAGGTCCACATAGTTAAAAGTGGCAGGTTACACATTTAAGAAATTATGCGAGCTTTGAATGCCAATACAATAATATTGGACTGGATCAAATTCAGAGTGTTATAAAAGTGTTATAAAATTCATGTGACTAAAACGACTATTTATTTTCATTTATCATTGTTGATTACTACGTGAGTTTTTTTTTTTTGTTAGGTTACTTGTTAAGTACAGTTTGTGTTGTAAACACCCACTCCCTCTCGCGGCGAGTTGTATGGAGCGGCGTTATTTGAGATTACACTAGCTTGTCCAGTGGCGGGGTACGAAAAATGACTAACAAAAGGCCTCTGACCCCCCCACTCAAAGTTACACCCTGTATATAGGTTCAAAAGGCTCGTATCGAACTATCAAATTTTCAAAAAATCATACTATCAAAGTAGTTTGATCAATTTGTTTTGGTCAAATTAGTAAATTGATAAAAATATGTTACCAGATGATTTTTTTAATAGTATTTGGTTTTCTATCATTCATTTAATTGAAAAACAGAGAACTATTAATTAGTTTAAAAATTGGGTCAATCTCATCGTGACGTCAAAATTACGTTTTCAAATAATTTTGATCAAACATCCACACGCCCTTGGCATCAAAAAAATTTATGGTTCTAACGGAATCATTGCAACAATTTTCTTGAGTAACGGTTATAAACTGTAAAAGGAAATAGACCATATTAGTGTATGAAATAAATGTTAATACTTATTTTATCATTCACCTAATCAAGAACATAATTTTAAACTGTATCTAATAAGTTAGGCAGCGATTTTATAATAAGATTCTCGTTTTGAGTGGCCTTGAAAGGTACATATTTACCCTGCTATCCTCACCTAATGGCGTATTGAAGTATGAAATTAATATTGATTAAGACCCCTCCTAGAACCAGATGTATTTAAGTGAATTGCTACTGTTTCAGCAATATTTTCAGCGGCCTATTACCGATATTATTCATTAATTTTTCGACAATTTTTAATTAATGATCCTTTCAAAGAACATTAATATGGATGGTACAAGGTTACATATGCGTTTTTTTCCACTTATACAGTTTGCCACAAATTGAATCAAAACATGCTGATGGCTCTAATGGGAGCAGAACGTGTGTTCTAATTGAATTGACCCATTTTTTATTTAGTTGATCTTCTATTAAGCATGAACCATATGTGCTCGGGTGACTAAATTGGTTAATTAATCATTAACGGGCAAAGCAAGCTATTAAACGGTTTGTAATTTTCTGGAAACAAACTGAATTACTCCAAATTTTTATTTTTTCCGTATATCGCGTGCGTTCTTCTGCTTGGCTGTTAAATACATATTATAAAAGGTTTTTGTTTTGACAAATGACATAGGATTGTTTTCATAAATTTGGAACTCGATAGTTAATAAACTACTTGAGAGTATCATCTTTACAAACTGCTAATTAATACAAAAATGCGATAAAAACAATCCAAAATAGTCAAGAGATGATGTTCGTTTAACAGAAAGTTTACTACGAAAATATATTGATATTAGCAGAAGCTATTTAAAAACGTAACATCTTGTTTTTTTTAAACTTCAACACTGTATGTAAAAAACGAAGAGCAAATATTTATTATTTTTATTGCTCTAATTCATTGTTTTTACCTATGGAGTCTGTGGATACTGGGTAACCTAGTTCTCAATGGGCAACACCATTACATTTGTTGAATTAAAAATTGATTAACCTGAAACAAGATAAACACATTTTTAATATAAATATTCCAAAAATTGCAGTAGAACAATATAACTAAAGCTTGCGGATTAAAGTCTGGCAAAATAAGTTTCAATAGAACCCTAGCTACTTCTGCAATTTAATTGAATTTCTTTCACTGAGGTAGATTGGAGTTCCCTTTAGGAATGAAACAAATGGCTTATTTTAGGTTGAATAAAATTAAATTTATTATAGGATTCAATCAGTTTATACCTTTTATTGTACTTCAATAATATTCAATATTAGATATATGTATATTGGAAATGTATATATAAAATGATTTTATATAGAAAAAAGACATGGGTGAACCAATAGAGAATTTTTTATTTAAACACAAAATAACTAAAATTAAATTTCAATTGTATTATAATAGCTGTGGTATTTGTTGTATAGTTTTTTTTAGTTCATGTTTGTTTACTTTGTAAAGAAACGTGTTTTGTAAAATAACTCACAAGATTTTATGTACACAAGTGGCTTTATTTTCTGTTCAAAAAATAAAACAAAATTCACGGCCAACATATTTAAATATGTTATCGTCACTTACACATGTCTTTACCTATTAAATATACAGGGTGATTCAATTATAATGTCATTAATTTTAACCACGTATTCGCAAAGTATTTTCATCCATATCAAATAGTAACGGTGCAATATAAGATTAAAAAACAAAATTATTTTTTCTGTTGTACTTTACTTTAAGGGCACATCAAATTCAGTTTACTGTTTAGATTTGTGAAAAACTTTCCGTCCTTGACAGATTTATTACTTATTAAACCACATTTTATAAAATATAATCCGTGAACGCTTTTTAACATACTTAACGCTAAATATCAAACATATTTTAATGACTTGGATAACAAAATGTGAGGTTTCCTGTTAGCTTACATTCTCGCCTGTTAGGTTTAATGGTTTTTAATAAGATACGTTTCATTTTTCCACATTTTGAATATTATGAAACATCTCATAAAACTTTCACGGCAACAATTTGCCTGAACGTTCCCTTTGCAGGAAGTGCTAATAATAGGTCCTGCTCCTGTTAGAGTTTTAGGTCATTGAATTAAAGGGAGCAGAGCAGCATATGGAAAGCGTATAGGCTCTTCGCACGCGGTTAGTCATAACTGGGAGCTCAAACTTTAGACAATCAGACTAGACGATAAATCTGAACTAACAGACGAACAGTTTCACGAATTTTCGTCACAAGAAATAGTATTGTAGATGCTTTATTTATTATTGGCAAATTGGCAGGTGCCTGCTGTTGACTATCGTTAGATCTATATCTTCAATTTTTGTCTTCGTGTTAATAAATTGCTTATAAGAATTAAACACTAGTGATAACAATTAAGTCAGTTATTATTATTAGTCACACATTAAATCAGACACTGCGGTACGTTGTCATTAACACCCTGTATAAATACTAGAAATACACACTGTGAAACAACTCTAGATCAGAGCAAGTTCCGTATAAAACATTTCTTTCTGCTCTGCTGAACATGGGATCAACCAGACAATACCCCGGTTCATACTTCCAGTAAGTAACATCTAATATCCTGATATGGACATAATGAACCTTATATAAAATTCAATCATCTTGAGGTGCCTTCTAAGAAGGGAGAAGTCAGGACCAAACGGCTATAAATCATAGTCTCATGTAACACATAAATATAAGGGCAATAAGGGTGTGTGGGAGCAGGAGATGATAATAAGCTTTCTAAAAATATATTCGAAGCACTGTAAATTGCAAATAATTGAGTTAAATTTTTCCCTTTCGGCGTATGAGGTTGGTAGTTGATGTTTTAATGAGGGTAGACCTGGCAAAAAATAAGTATATTTCTATAATGACGAGTTGAAGAATCCGAGAGATGTTACAGATAAATTTTTAAAATTGTAACTAAAAATATGTTTTTTACAAAGCATTTAATTTTTCAAAATAACATTTTCAATTAGTGTTTATATCTAATCATTATATGGAAAGTTATATGTATATGGAATCTGGAATCTGGAATTATGGGTAGGGTAGTTTAGAAGCTACAACACTTGGGCCCCATTGGGTCCCTTGTACTTCTTCCCATTAGGAAATCGATCCACCTGAGCCGTTAACCAACCTATTAAAGAGAAAAGGGTGGTGATGTTGCTCAGGTCAATGTTCTCTCAAAACGAATTGATTGATTTTAATTTCGGAAATAAAAAAAAATCGCAAGGAGGCAGGTCTGACAAGTAAGGAGAATTGACAAAGATGAGCGTGAAACCGCGTCATGGTGAAAAAGTCATGAATTGTCTCGCGTTCACGTAACCGTGGTAAAACGCCTTGATAGTACACACGATTCACTGTTTCACCTTGAGGCAAAAATTCAAAATGCACAATTTCATTGATGTCGGAAAAACGATAAGCATCATTTTGACATTTGATCGAGACTGACGTGGAGATCCTTTGCCAACCCATTGTGACTATGGAACTTTTGTCTCAATATCGTAACTGTAAACGTTTCGTCTCCCGTTATGATCGTTTAAATGAATGTTTCATCGTCATTGGATTATTAAAGGAATTGCCGACATGGTTTTCTTTCTGTTGTTCGTTCACCAAACGGGGAACAAATTTTGTTCATTACGCAACTGACGATCAATCGGCGATTTGCACACACCAGATCTTTGACTTTCTGGACGTAGGAGTCATCAATTGAAGTCGAAAGCTTTCCTGGTCGAGGATAATCTTCAATTAACTGACGATCACTTTTAAATCGTGACAACCATTCGTAACGTCACTGACTCCAAAATAGGGTTCCTTTTGTCTCCACCGGGTCAAGATCAATGTCATTTTGAGGTTAGACTGAGTAACTTCTAAATAGGGTTTAGTGGAAATACTCCAGGTTTTTTTGGTCGCTTTATTAGGACTCCATTTGATCTTGTTACGTCAGGGTCAATGTTATTTGAAAGCTACTTAATTCTTACAAAGCAATTTTTGCCTCTTTCATCTATAATGGACCAAAAGTCTCAACATTCACGAGTCGTCACATTAGCATGATCTTTTTCGACATGTCAACAATATAGTAATATTCGTTTCGTATTCTATGGTGAAAGATGAGTATTCACATTCCATTAATGATAAATTTTTTTATAACTTGTACGTAATGAAATTTTTACATGTAGACTGCCCAAATATCTCTGCATTAATGGACATAAAATGTCTTTACTGACGGACCTAACTCCATTAAAATCATCAAATTTTAATCATCATTAAAATCATCAATCATCTAGTTAAAAGCCTCATTTCTATGATGTTTTAATAGAACCTTTACAATCCTGCCACCATGAAGGATACAGGGAACGATGACAACTGCTCCGAAAGGAAATGTGTAGAATGATTCGCTTCTTGGTTTGATCTTGAAATAATCTTTAACCTGACCTGACAAGGTCAAATGGACGTCGGATTCGGACTCACAATCAGCGACCCCAAAAACATAATAACCATGGTTGCCTCCACCATACGGGATGTTTCTCGGTTTAACCCTGAAATGACCTTTAACTTGACCTGACAAGGTCAAACAAACGAACTTCAGATTCGTCTAGTCCGATGCACAGATTTTTTTTTATGGGGCTGTGTAACTTTTACTTTTTACGATTTTATGATATGAATTGAAGAAATAGAAAAAGAACTGATGGACCTAACATAAAGAGACAAAAATTACTAGAAGTCACTAGATTTCTGCGTTATTGCCGCTATAAAGATGTACTTTACTAATTACGGTTTATGATTGTTCGGTGCCATACGTTAACAAATTAAGTAATAAACTTTAAGAACGTCTTGATTAAGTTGTTCTTGATATAATTCCGGTACAAACGGGCATTAATTAATGTCGACTAATTTTCGACTTCGGATGTTGGAAATGGCTATTACGAAAGACAAAAACGTGTAGTAGTTCGATAATTATACCTTCACATAACGAGATCTCTGTAGGTATCTATAAAATCTATAAAATTGTTTCGTTTAAAAAATGTATAGAATATATAGGAGGAAGTCGTACATCCAGGTGATAATAAACGTCAAGTTATAAATAGAAAGCTAGTAGAAGTCATCATTAACTGGATAATTTTGTTATGCAAGCGAACATCCTTTCCATAAGCTATTTTCTACATCGGATCAAAAGGTTGCAGCATTAATACTTTTAACTTGATCACCTTCAATTGGGTCAATATAAACGTAGTAGTATTGAGGGCACTTCATTAATATCAGAACAATAACAGAAATTGGGTTAATGATCATCATTCATGCATTCCATATTCAAAACTGTGGTAAAATTATTAGTATATCGTCACGGTAATAAATTATATTAGTGACATTTTTTGAAAACTACTTTATACGATTTAAAGATGTTTTCGGACCATCATAAAAGTCGATTTAAACTATAATCGTCTAGTTTTCAATGATTTAAAATTAAAAAATCAGAAAAGATTTTTTTAAATTATTTTTTAACCAGTACAAACCATAATGATTTAAAAGCATTATGCACAATAATATGATTACTATCAATGAAATTGATTGCACTATCTTAGGACTGAATGCATGCTTTATTCGTTGTGTATATCGATGGCACTTCCTGTAAGTACAGTTGGTCTACAAGTAAATTTTCCTTTGCAAACGCAGTGTTTGGCTTCAAATCTTATGACAATAGCACATTTCTTCAAAATTTTGTTTCTTTTACAACTTACCAGTAACTCGAGGAAGCGCTAAAATGTTTAGCTGTGAAAACATCTGATTAGTTTGAAATATGTACGTAGAAGAAGGCAATATAACGATGGCAGAAAATTAATTGAAACGAAAACAGACACGGACCTACTGGAAAATGAGCAAACGTCAATTCATCGTCATCAGTCGTAATGATTCGTTTACAATGAACAATAACAAACCGTTGCGTGTACGCTCGGATTTGTTAAATGAAATGTGGTTGAATGGAAAAATTACAACAAGCGCCAGCCGCTCAAACAGAATGTTGTATTTTGACCTAATATTGATGATATTGTCATTAGATACAAAGGACAAGATTTGTTTTAGGGAAAGTTAGGACAGGAGGCAGCAAGATCGACGTCATCAGATCTAAGAAAAGCTGCCTCAAAAAGAGGCAATTCTTTGCAATCCTGGATCCTGACGGCCTACAAACGTCAAAATTTGTGGGGAAGCATCAGCCTTGATTTTGACTTACTTAGCGTAGCTTGTAAACTCAATGTCATTAGTCATTTTTAATTTTACAAAATTTAAATGCCAACGCAAAGGAAATACAATTACTGTTTCAAACATAATTAGTGGTCACGTGGCTTGTCATCATTTATGATTCGTTTCAAACGATTGTGTAAACTTTTATTCATGTATTCATAAATATTTTGGTTTAGCTATAAACCCTATGACGATTTTTTTCCCCAATGTCTTTAATTGCCACTGTTCAATGGCTAACAATACGATCATTACGAACGGAAATTGAAGTCCCGTTTCATCAAACAAAGTACTACAATATTCATATAGATGTCGCTACAGGAAATACGTTTATAGTAAAAATAGTACGATTATTTCATTCATACAAATCCCGGCAAAACACACCTAAAATAAACGAGAAAATGCCAGGTGCACGCACACGTGCACGATAATGAGTTGTCCGGCCTATACGTCCATCCCACTCTCTTGCTATCTCATAATTGCATATGAAAAGAGAAGGGTAATAAAATAATAAAAACTCCAATTTGCGGCCGCCGGTTTTTTGTTCTGAAAATATTTCTATTTTCTATCTTCTACATATTATTATGTACATATTTACAAAAAAGGAGGATGGCAAGTGGTTGTACAAATTTATAATATTTGCAGCCAACTAAAAGTTTTATTTCATATTATTTTCTACATTTTAGTACTTGTATGGATTCGGGCCAGAGTAGGTGCGAATGTAATTATTTCTTGTATGGATCTTTGAGCTGTTATCTTTTATTGTTGCGTTGTGGCTGCGAAATATTTTATTTGTGGAGTTTACTATTTTTTATATGAAGGAAAAAACATTAACAGAGTAAGTATTACAATTTGCTAGGCATAGTTGTACTTAGTACTAAATTCAAGTAAATAATAG